CAGACTCAGAGTCAGAATCAGAGACAGAGTCAGAGTCAGGGCGAGAGTCAGCCTTAGTCATTGTTCTCTTTACTATAACGATCCATTGAAATTCGCCATCCATTTATGCTTTCAGAGTCTTCTATTATTTGCAATTGAAACAATTTTAGCTGGAAAATGTTTCCAATGCACTAGTCGGGTGTATAACAGAGCAGATACCCTGTAAATGAGGCTGCTTTACTACCATGAGGCAAAATACTTAAGTAAAATCTAGTGATTCACTTTTTTCTCAGTGCCTTAATACAATTGAGGAAGAAGAAGAAGAGAAGACTCTGTGAGTCATCAAATTTATGTGAATTTTATGAAATATAAACAACAACAAATTACGAAAATTGATTTAATTTTCGAGAATTGCAGTTTTTATAGCTGCAGCTAATGCAGTTTTAGTTGCAGTAGGATTACACCGTGAGAAGATAGCGTGTATGAAGTCTATAAATTATGGAAATACCAAAAATCCGAAAATTCTTATAAGTAATTCAAATAAACATATATAAAATAGTCATTACCGACTGCAGCAATACCCGATCAGAGCTATAAAACTATTTATTTGAGGATCAAAAATGAGATATAAAATAATATGGGAGAATCCATAGCGATCCAGTTGTCAGAATTGTTGAATGGAGAATTTCTATATATAGAATTGCGTATAGTACTTGATATATTGTCAAATTAACTTGCCAAAACCACCCAAGCTTTTCGCTCAGTGCAGCAGTTGCATTCTCCCAGCTCAAGCCCAAGCCCAAGCCCAAACCTCAACCCCAGGGCCAAGTCCAAGTGTGTGAGACTTTTGACTCTGACTAATGTTAGTTGTTCTTTCTTTTTGTTATTCGCACAAGAATTTTATGCCCACATAAATGGATAATTGTGTGAAACTTCTTGAAAAGCAAAAGAAGGGAAAAACTCAAACTGCGAGAACTGCAAAGAAAAACTGAGAAAACTGAGAAAAACAAATTTGCAATTATGCAAAGTGCAAGTTCAACGTGGAGCCGCGCTCAAGGCACTCGCTGCCGCAAGTTATTCATCAAACTATCAGCAGCCACCCCCCGTCACACAGCCCTGCCCACCTGCTCTCCCAGCCCCCCTCGCGCCTGCTGGCCTCCTGATTGGACTCGCTTCATTTGCTGGGAAACTGATTGCGGTTTCAAATTGCTCAGCAACTGAGATACCCTTTGATATGGGCTTGAAAGGTTCTACATATGTATAGGGCGAAAGTAGGCGTGGTCAAGGAAGTGACACATTATCGATAGATCTCGGATCAGCCGAGCTGTCATACAAACACATACTCGTTCACTCCACTCATGTAAAGCCAGGCCATGGCCAGGGTATTTGGCAGTCGTGCATGCCCGACTAGATCACTTTTGCTTGTTCAGTTTAATGCTAACTTTTTTTGAGAGACGTTGTTCAATTATAATTAAAAATGGGTTTGTAAATATAATTGGTGGGCGTTAAGTTGCCAATGTTGTTGTTGTTGTTGTTGTTGTTGTTGTTGTTGTTATGGGTTGTTCATGATTTGAGTGGTGAATTAGAACAACGCAATTGTTGTTCGTTCGTTTAGTCACAGACAGTTCGACGCCTCGTTTTGAAAACTTTGCCACACAAAAACATTTGTTGAACGAATTCGAAAAGCAACAACAACAAAAAGTAGCTGAAGAAATGTTTTTTTTTTTTCTTTTGTTTTGGTTTTAGCCCTAAAAGCCTAACGGTGCAAACAGCCATTGCCAAAGTAAAGTTGTAAATCGTACACTGAACGAAAAGCTTGCAACACTTTGCGCGTGGGTATTCTTCAAATTAAAGCACACTTGGAGAAAAAATGCATTTGAAATTGCATTTGGCATAGGACTGACTCACATCATGAGGTCTTTTGCACAAAACCAATATACCTATTTCATTTGAATGAATGGGTATAAAATAACATTATAAAGAATCTGATCTGATCTCACGTTGTAGTAATTTATTTTTGCAACTTTCTTACCATTTGAATGCTAGCCATAGTTCGTTTCTCTCAGTGCACATTGCGTATACGACCCGGAGTGCGCGTGCCTATGTATGTGTAAGTGTGTGTGTGTTCATGGGCTAAAGAAATGATGTCGCACAGCTCGATTCACGTGGCATTTGAAGAATCATTGTGTGCCGCTATGCCTAACAGAAGAAGAAAAAAAGTCCCAGGGCCAGCTTTAGGGGGCGGCCACGCCCGCCGTACTGCCATCGCCATCGCCCCCGCCCTCCCATCGTCCCTCTGCTTAGCTGCATAGACGCTTAGCCAAACGAATTAACACTTTTCACATGTATCGAACAATGTGGCTTCACTCATATTTTTGTGGCTGACATCTATGTATGACAATTACGATTTCTACATATCTCAAAGCATTACACACACACACACACACACACACACACATGCACAAGTACGTATGTGCACATAGTTATTTTCTATAAACATATTCATTTCTGTAAACATAGTTCCGATTGCGTTTGCTTATTGGAGTTGTTTGCCCAGCGCATTAGCTGTTACATATTTCCAATTGGAGTCCCACTCACACACATTCATATACTTGCAATTGGATATGATTCATCGTATGTGCCATACATATCTAGGTTTCGTTCCACTGCCGCCTGACTATTCCAATTGGAAGTTTGAGCTCACTTGTTGGCTCATTGGGATATTCAATGGGTTTTTATGCATCCCATAATAATTGAATATATTTGATCGTATGTTATTAAGTCTCTACTAATCGCTACTTTACTGTTGTCCTCCTAGACCCACTTATGCTCCACTTGCATTTGAAATTTCCTTAGGTCTGTACTTTTCTGTACTTCCTTCTGAGGTTTAGTTCGTTTGATTTAACTCCAGTTTCCTTTCGAGCCTCCTTTTTAACCTTACTAAGTTCTTCTCAGTACTTACTTACTTAGTACTCCTGTATACTCATTACTCTTGGAATCTCTATAAATAATCCTAGTTTGACTATGACTCTCTGTGGAGTTGGATCAGCTATGTTCGACTTCCCTTTCCACTTTTTAGTTAAATTTCCACTCTATATGGAAACTTTTTCATATCAGTTATAAATTCACCCCTTCTTTTACATTGTTGCTCCACTTTTATCTGTATTTCCACATCAAGTCTCAATTCCATTTGGAAACTATTCGACTAACGATTTCAGTTCCAGTTCCAGTTCCAACTCCAATTCTTATAGTATTCTTCCATATTCATTATGCCAGTTGGACTTCCAAATAGCCGTTCTCTCTCTTTCTCTCTTTCTCCCTTACACCTCCATTGCTCCATGAGTTCCGCTTCCAGTGCTGAATCCAATTGGAAGCAAACACTCACAAATGCTCGCTTTGTGTGACATGTGGCAAAAAAAAATGGCAACTCAAAGTAGTAAAAATTAAAAAAACAAATAAAAATTGGCTAATTTAAAGATAATTGTTTTTTTTTTGTTTAACAAGTTTTTATTTTTGTAAAAAGTGAAAAGGAAAGGCCAATTCATGTCCACATCCACATCCACATCCAAATGACTCACGACCCAGTTTTGCGTATCCGTTCCTACAATAGAAGCAAATGCAATAGACGATGTACATATGTGTGTATTTATCTTTTGGCACCGATTCCATTTTAAAGACTCCGATTATAAATGTTTGTTATTGTTATTATTGTGGTTGTTGCTGTTGTTGTTTAGCTTTGTTTTATGTTGGGCAATTAGTATAGCCAGGGTCAAGTTAATGATTCAATTAGCATTTGTCATCGCAAGCCGCAAGCCGCGCTTGGCAATCGTTCGCAATAGTTCGTAATTGTCGTAGATCGTGGGAATATTGATAATACTCGTTAGCTCCATGTCACGCCGACTGTCATAAATGTCGACCTGTCGAGCTGACGAACTGTCGAGCTGGCGACTTGTGGAGCCGATCTACTGATCTGGTGAGCTACTGACCCGACGATCCGACGATCTGGTAATCTGATATTTCGCCAGACAAAACTCGATCTGTCGAACTGCTTATCTTCTGATCCGTATATTAATCGATCATCAACAATATTTTAAATAAATCGAATCGAACTCGAAGTCGGAAGTAACTAGAGCTGTTGAGAGGAAAAGATAGGGAGCGAGAAATATGAATGGGATGGATGAGGTAATAAAGTGGGAAATAAGGAACATTTAGTAACTTAAAATCGAGCTTAAAAATGTATAAAACGTTATAATTTTAGAAGTTGTAAAAGTCTAACTTTAGAAGATTAAGCCTTATTTGATAAAGCTACAATTAGATAAATGATTTCGGAAACAAGCCTTTAAACACTTGGAGTATCGAAACACCTACTAACCGAATGTAACTGAAATGTAAATATTTGACAGAGGTTGGCGGACAAAGCCGGTTAACACAGGTTTCGATATACGTGGTATAATAAATAGAACAAATGGAATAGTATATGTAATAATAGTATGTAGTATATCTATCTTACTATAGATATTCTCTCTCTCTATCTCTCACACACACACATGGCTCCTTCTGCATCCTCAATCTGTATCCCTGCGTTCTTGGCTTTTATCTGTTCTATTCTTTATCTCTCTCTCTCTATATCGCTTGCCCTTTCTTGTTGCTCAACTCTCTCACCCGCTTTCTTTCTCCGTATCTATTACTTAAATGAATTTGTCTACTCTCTCTCTCTCTCTCTCTCTCTCTGTTGCTTAACTTGCTTTGTCTACTATCTCTCTCTCTCTCTCTCTCTCTCTCGCTGACCCTCTCTTTTATTTCATCTCCAATTGAATGCGAGCTTGTGTAAAGCCTTTCAACTTAACCCAACATAATTTCTTGACCGCATCGATCCAAGGCGGCGGCAGCCACTGAATCCGCCCACTCACACGAGCCGCAGCTGCAGCTTCAACTCTCAAGCTGTCTCGCACTCTCCCTACGTCTGTGTATGTGTGTGTGCGTGTGTGCTGGGCAGGTGTATAAAAGCGACGGCCACTGGGGTTGGCTTGGCATTAGACGAGTGTCAGGTGACGCGTGCGCAGTAGAAACGTTCAGCGAGTAGTCGAGAGCAGCCAAACCAAGTGACATCCACAGAACCAAAGGCGGCCACCACATGAAGTGCTTTGTAAGCGACGAGCGAAGCTCGCCTCTGACTTGGATTACGGCGGGCGGAGCATTAAGAATCATTTTGCTTGCAGATCGTATTTGTTGCAGCTTTGCTGCTGGCATCCGCTCAGGCGCAGAGCCAGTCGGCGCAGGCGCAGGCGCAGGATCAGGAACAGGTGGCGGCAACGCCGACGGCGGATCAGGTGAGCGCCGCCAGCAGCTATGCGCCGCTGCAGGAGAAGAAGCAGGACAAGCGCTATGTCGGTGGATACGGTGGTTACGGTGGTTATGGTAGTTATGCTGGCTACGGCGGATACGGCGGCTACGGCGCTAACGCTGGCTATGGCAGCAGCGCCTACGGTGGCTACGGCAACGGCTATGGCGCATATGGCTCCACGCTGGGTGCTGGCTACGGCTACGGCAGCGGCGTGGACAGCTATTACAGTCCATATGGAACGCGCGGCTTGACTGGTTTAGGTGAGCAAGCTAGCAAAGGAGCGTACCAGTTACGTCTATGAAAAACTAATCTCTGCTTACTGCTATTCGACGCTAGATGGCGCTGCTGGATATGGCTCTGCTCTGGGCGGCTATGGCTCCACTCTGGGCGGATATGGCTCCGCCCTGGGCGGCTATGGCTCCGCTCTGGGCGCCTATGGATCTACACTGAGCGGCTATGGCTCTGGGCTGGGCGTCGGCGGTTACAATTCGAATCCCTATGCGCTGTCCTACTACAATTCACGGCTCGGCGCTGGCGTCAGCACTGGCTATCCCTATTACAACACACGCTTCGGCGCCGGCGGCTACCCGTCGAGCTACTACAGCAGCAACTACGGCAACAGCGTCGTGGGCGGCGGTCTGGGAGCGCTGGGCGGAGTGCCACCTATTGGCGGCGCTGGCTACAACTATGGTGCCGGCATTTCGGGCACCGTTTACTAGGATGTGAACGCCAACGATTTCAGCTTTAGTGCAATTCATTTTTTTTTCTCCCTCAAACTATATATATAGATATATATATATATATATATATATGTGTGTATACAATATTATATTTTTTTTTATCTAACTTAATATTTTACATATGTTAAATGAAATAAGCAAGCCACAAATTTACATATTTATTATTTAGTTCAGCTTCAGTTGTAGGCGCCGTGTTTGTCCTTGATCACCCAGAAGGAGTCGACAATCTGGCCGTCCTTGTCGTCGGAGACCTGCTCGAAATGCAAATGGGTTGCATTGTGGGCCTTAAGTCGTGTGTAGCCATAGTCCTGCAAGTGAAAACCAGGAAAACTCAATCAAAAACGAGAATTTATCAACAAAAATGTCTGGCAACATTTGCAGTTGCTTTAGCAACATTTCTGTCAAGCACAGAAATGCTGCCATCAAATGTTGCTGTGATGAGCTTTGCTCTCATATTATTAAAAAGCTTCTAGCGTAAGGCAGGAAGTTCTATACCAACGCAGCTGCTTTGGAGCATGTTCCGTTAAGTTTGGTTTGAACAGCGCTTCGATAGCTGTGCGATTGTGTTGACGAAGTCATGCCATAGTTATCGATAGATTGCTTAGCGATAGTCTTGTTGCTTGCAAAAATGCAAGCCGTTACTCACATTGCTATGAAAGGCATTCCAAGAGGGCAGATCTTTGGAGAAGGGCTCGCGATTTTCATTGCAGCCCGCCGAGCCAGTTATGATCTGTATGGGTGCTCGGGGATTTGTGTAGGGCGCCTCGGCGCTGCCATTGTAGACCTTAAAATCGTAAATGGGCCACAAGCGTGTATAGAAATGCTCGTGGGCAAAGAACTCAACGTCGACGCCGTGCTTATAGAACAGATCCTCCAGTCCGAACCATTCGAGCGTCGGCAAACCCTTGCGTATGTACGTCTCCAGCTTGGCATTGCAGTCGTATTCCTTGTCGTCACTGCAGTACATCGGACGGTGGCCATAGGTGATGATCCAGGGTCGCTTGGCGCGATTCTCGGGAAGATTGGCCTCGGCCAAGTCTCGTTCCAACCACTCGTACTGCTTGGTGAGCAGCTTCAAGCCATAGTTGATAAAGTAGTAGACCTCCGTGGAGAACGAGACAAAGTGCACGGGACCCATGTTGAAGCTGTACCACAAGCTGTCCCCATCTCCGGGCATGTTGAAGCGTGCGCGATAGTTCGAAAAGTTGCTGCAGCGCATCAAACGAATTGATTAATAAGAGGAAGCTATGAAATGGCTGTTCATACTATGCTTACTACTTCTCTTCGTGGTTGCCCGGACAGACCATGTACGGCACATAGGCGGCCAGTGTTTCGATCTGGCGCATAAATTCGTCGCCGACGCGCGCATCATTCGAGTCCATGTCGTAGGCGAAGTCACCCACATGAATGATTGCATCGTACATGCCCAGCTGCGAGTCCTGCTGCAGTCGAGCCAGTGACTGGGCATTCTCATTGCCCATATCTCCGTAGATAGCCAGCGAAGGCGACCAATCCTCTCCTGCTGGCGGCGTCTTAAAGCTGTAGACCGCCGACCAGCCCAAATCGCTGCCGCAGCTGTACTCGTAGTGAGTGTTGGGCTTGAGAGACGACAGCGTCACCTTGTGTATGTACTGGGAGCGCCCCTGTTTGCCTCCATCCTGGAAGAATTGCCAGCTGCCGCTGACCGAGCTAAGCGCATCGTGCACATAGTCCTGGGCAAAGTTAACCAGGGACTGATTGGTGGAGCTGCGCGTCGACCAGGTCACGACAATGTCCTGCAGGCTGTCTGCAAAGGAAAGCAAGCATCGGTGCATGAAGTATATATGGTAAATATAGCCAGATATCTGATAGAACTACATATAGTCAAACAACTTTTGCTAATGTGCATATCATTTATTCGAATAATGGTATAAAAATATATATTTGGTTTTATATGGATAGGAATATGGAATATGAATTATAGTCCTTATGAATATCACATATTCAGGGGGTATATGGTCCATGCTGTTCCTTGATCACCCAGAAGCTGTCAATGATGACGCCGCCTTTGTCATCGGACACCTGCTCAAAGTACAGATGGCTGGCATTGTGCGCCTTGAGGCGCAGATAGCCAAAGTCCTGGCTGTGAAAGGCGCTCCATGGTGGCATTTCCTTGAAGAATGGCTCACGACCTTCATGATTGCCGGCAGCGCCGGAGATGATGTGCACCGGTGCACCCGGATTCACATACGGCTCCGTCAGCGAGCCATTGTACACGGTATAGTTGTACATGGGCCACATGCGCTCATAGCAGTGCTCGTGCGCCCACAGCTCCACGTCTACGCCGTACTTGTAGAAGAGCGGCTCGAGACCAAAGAAATTCAAGCCGGGCAGACCCTTGCGCACGACTGTCTCGTGATTGGCGCAGTCGTCGCCGTTGTCATTGCTGCAGTACATCGGACGATGGCCATAGGTTATGATCCACGGACGTTGGGCGCGGTTCTCCGGCTTGGTGGCCTCGATCAGGTCACGTTCGAGCCAATCATATTGCATGACAATTGGCTTAATGCCGTACTGTGTGAAGTAGTAGACCTCGGTGCTGAAGCCAATAAAGTGCACCGGTCCCAAGTTGAAGCTGTAGAACAGATTGTCCGTGCCGCCGGGCATGCTGAATCGATTGACATAGTGCGAGAAATTGCTGTGCGGCGAAAGAGAATCAGAGAACCACTCATTAGACTGCAGCTAGGAGAGCACACTTACTACTTCTCCTCGTGATTGCCCACACAGACCATGTACGGCACATAGGCGGCAATCGTCTCCACCTGGCGCATAAACTCATCCCCAACCTCCCCGTTCTCGTTGCACATGTCGTAGGCAAAGTCACCCACGTGCAGTATGGCATCGTACATGCCCAGCTGCGTCTCGCGCTGCAGTGCCGGCAGCGAGGCGGCGTTCACCACGCCCATGTCGCCGTAGATGGCCAGCGAGGGCGACCAGTTGCTGTGATTGAGTGCCGTGTGGAACCAATAGATGGCCGACCAGCCCAATTGGCTGCCGCAGTGATAGCGATACGTTGTGTTCGCTTGGAGCTTGGGCAGCGTCACCTGTCAATGGACATGCTATATTGGCAGCTCATTCAATTCTTGCCTACTTACGCGATGAATGTACTGTGTGGCCTTCTGGGCGCCGCCATCAACAAACGCTGTGGGTCCTTGAGCAGCCTTGGCGCTTTGCTCAGTGATGCTATCGATGCCGTATTCGCATAGAGATTCATTTGTATTGTCACGCGTGTTCCAGGTAACGACAATGTCCAGCACACTTTCTGGGAGAAGCACAGGGCACACACGTTGCCAATTATTCACGGTCGATAATCGTATGCACGTATGAATGTATATATTTACATGTATTTACAAATTCAGTTAGAGCTGCGCGCCCAACGTTTTATCGGCTATCGATGAACGTGGCACGCGCGCCTGGCTGGATGCTTAATATTGGGCTATCGATAACAGATTTCCGCAATATATACCGTTATTTCTAAATGAACTTCTAGCTTATTTGCAATTATTTTTAACGGACATATTTATTATGTATAATAATTATATACATTATATCGAACTTAATATGATAAAATATTAATCGCGAAGAATGGATAGCCATCTTATGGGCATTTGTTAATTGAGAGAATCTGGTCAAATATATATGTAATTATATTTCAATTGAGATTTATTTGTTTGATGTCTATGATCTCAACCTTAATCCTACCCATTGATATGGGAAAATAAAAAAACAGCTCAAAATTACAAGCGATACAAAAATGCGGATATTAATAGACATATTTGATATACATACATACATATATCAACATATACGTTTGTACATTTTAAAAGTGTAAAAAAGCATACAAATAAAATTGGCTAATTTTAAGGAGTGTTTACAGTTATCAAATACAGTCCATTCATGGGCTTATACTGGGCTACAATTGCAGTTGCAGTTGTGTAAGGGAGCAAAATAAACTATAAATTGATCTATTTATATATACATATATCGAAGAATATATATATGTATATATATTTTGAAGAATGTGCATTCGTAATACTGCCAGTTGCTACAGTTGTGATTGTGTGTGTGTGTTATCTGAGTTGTATTTAGTTAGCCTTTTGAACCGTTTACAGTTCGCTGTATGCCCCGTGCTGGGCTTTAATTAGCCAGAAGTTGTCGATGATGGCGCCCCCTTGATCATCGGAGACCTGCTCAAAGTAGAGATGGGTGGCATTGTGCGCCTTGAGACGTGTATAGCCATAATCCTGACTGTGGAAGGCACTCCACTCGGGTATCTTGCCCTTGAAAGGTTCACGTCCTTCCTTGCAGCCTGCCGATCCGGTAATAATGTGCACCGGAGCACGTGGATTCTCATAGGGCGAGCCGAGCGATCCATTGCGTACCTTGTAGTCGTAAATGGGCCAGAGACGTTCGTATGAGTGCTCGTGCGCCCATATGGCCACATCCACGCCGTACTCGTACAGCAGCGGCTCCAATCCGAACATATGCACAAATGGCCAGCCGACCCGGGTTAGGGTCTCCGAGTGGGTGCAATCGTTGTCATTCTCATTGCTGCAGTACATCGGTCGATGGCCATAGATGATAATCCAAGGTCGCTTGGCGCGATTCTCTGGCTGGTTGGCCGTCTCCAGATCACGCTTAAGCCACTCGTATTGAAAAACGAGCGTCTTCAAGCCGTAGTTAAGGAAGTAGTATACCTCCGTGGATATGCCAATGAAGTGCACCGGTCCCAAGTCGAAGCTATAGAAGAGATTCTCTGTGCCGCCCGGCATGCTGAATCGTGCCCGGTAATTGGAGAAATTGCTGCAAGGCGAATCCAATAAACAATCTCCTTATCTGAACTCATCTGAACTGTTCTGCTGCTGCTCAACTTACAACTTCTCCTCATGATTTCCCGGAACGACCATGTAGGGCAGATAGGCGGCCACCGTTTCGATCTGGCGCATAAACTCATCACCCACTCGAGCATCTTTTGTGTTCATGTCGTAGGCGAAGTCACCCACATGAATGATCGCATCGTACATGCCCAACTGCGTCTCTCGCTGCAGCCGGGCCAGCGACTGGGCGTTCTCATTGCCCATATCCCCGTAGATGGCCAGTGATGGGGACCAATTGGAATCAGCACTGGGTATAGTACGGAATTGATATTTGGCAGACCAGCCGTACTCGCTGCCGCAGTGATATACATAGCTGCTGTTGGGTTTAAGTTCGCTGAGCGTAACCTAAGTTAAATTAACAATCTTGAGTCACATCTCTGTGTGTGTGAGAATGTGCGTGTGTGCGTACCCTGTGTATGTACTGAGACATCTGCTTGGGCCCGCCATCCACAAATCGAATGGCCTTGCCATAAGCGCGCTGCTTAAGATCTGTCAATCCATATTCGACAATGCTCTCTGCAGACGGCGGCAGTTCGCGCGTTGACCAAGTGACAACAATTTCGCTGGCGGTGCTCTCTAGTTACAGCAGGAGCAGCAGGAGCAGGTGCAGCAGCAGTTAACAGGCGGGGTAAACAAAAACGGAAAGAGAAAACAAGACAAAAATGAAAAACAAGCTTGAGTTGTGGGCCGAAATATATTTATTTAAATTTGTGTTTGCATAAAAAACAGTTGGTGCAAATAATTTATATTTAAATTTGCTTTACGACATGTTTTTCGATTTGTTGTTTTGTCTCTCGCATCGCTTATCGCGAGCCCAAATAACAAAATTTTTAAATTTAACTCTCGTTAGAGTGTGACCTAATTAGCGTATCATTATGATCCCTATGATTCGAGCACTGTGCGGTAAACATAAAATACTTAAGAGATAAGTTCGGAGAAGGAAGCAAAAGACGAGAAATTAAACAAAAGTTGACTGAACTAAATTATTAATTCCTTATCTACGGCTGGAATTCGTCTCGGAACAAGTTTCTGCTTCGCTTTTTATTTCGATATCCGCGTGACCGGTCACATACAAAATATTCCAACTGAACTCTAGTTAGAGTGTGACCTTATTAAAGTATGATTGTGATCCCGAAGGTTCGAGCACTTATTAGTAAATAAATACTTATAAGAAATTTAAAAATTAAACAGAAGACAGATTGTATACATTATTCTTTTTGATGTTTTGAATTAGTTTTACAGCATATTTATTGTCATTTGATTTATTTGTTTTGCTCCCCATTACGCTTATCGCGGAATCGCATATGAGAACCAATTAAACTAAAGTCATTGTGCGACCTTTTTTAGTATGTGACGACGATACCTAACATACGAAAGCTAAGTAATTACATATGTATATATTAATATGCATTTTACGCATTTATCAGCAAATCAGCCTTAGCCTCATTCTATGGCTTGCGTTAACGGATGACGCGCGCAAATTTCTATTGCACTCTTTGTTTGTTTCATTGTTGTTGCTCGTGTTAGGGGCGGTTGTATGGCTCAACGGGAACAACTGCAACTGTAACTGCAACCGCATATTGCATGAGTGTGCGTATGTACATACATACATATCTCCGGGTTGGGTTGGGGGGAGTTATTGTCATGTTATCAAGTCTAAACTATTGCGCAGCAATTTCGACAATGGCAAAAAAAACATATGTATTAAAACAATTTAAACGCTGATATCAACGAAAAATGCCGGTAACTTTTAGCAAGCATCGCACTTTTTTTTTTTTGTTTTGGGCGAGGGGTTAAAAAACTCGCGCTGAACTTTAAACTTGATTGTTTCATTTGCCATAAGTGACAGCAATAAACTTTTATATACGGCTATACGCATAGTTCGCCTTTGCTTAACACTATTCTATCAATATGCAATATATATATACATATCTATATAAATGTATACATGCAATACGTGTAGAATACATTTATTAGGTACATACCTCCAAATGCTAGATGCACCTGCTCTGGCTGATAGTGTACTATGTTCAGATCTTTCTCCAAATTCTGCTTCCCGTTAATGTCTTCTAGCACCAATTGCCGCTGCACAGTGCTGGCAACGCAAAGTGTTAAAGTTAGAAACAACAAGGTCAAATTAGCCATTGTTGCTGCTCTTTTGCTTTGCTCTTAGATGTTTTTGTATATATGTGTATTTATTGAGCCACAGTTAATGACATTGCCAAATTTATATGCGCAATATATTTATAAGCTGCAAATAATTTACGTGTACTTCACAAAATTTACTTTGCTGGCGACAGCAGAATGCAATGCACGAAGACTATTGAAACGTCCAGCAATTTGTGGAATAACAAAAGTTCGATTGACAGCGCAGCTGTTAATAGTTATCGATACATACGGAGGGTGCGATAAATATCTCACTCGATAGTTGACAGAGTGACCAGCAACGCAGGGCGCACGTATTTTAAAAATAATTGTATTGAAAGCGGATGGAAAAACAAAGTATGCGTTTGCTTTGCCGACTTCGTAATGCTGAACGGATTTTAGTCTATTTTATTATTTCAAAATAACTTTTTGGCAGAATAAGTTCGGAAATAAATTAAATAAAAAATAAATATAAAGCACCATGGGTATGGCTGGTCTGTCGGAAGATTTCATAACGTTAACACAATTAAATTGTGTCCAACAGTGCAGTGCATTGATTTACAGCCCAAAGCCGCGTAACTATTTAACGGCCGCAGCACTTTTCAGCGTATATTGCGGCGTAGTTATCTATCGTTCGTATCGGAATCATCAGGCCAAAATGCAGGCTCGCCGTGAGGCTGCGCTGATTGCGGCACGCGAAGAATTGCCAGTCTTCGAGGAGTATACCGTGGAAGCACCAACTTTGGAGCAGCAGCAGCATTATCCAGCCGAACCAACCGTTCCCGAGCCAGCACACGTTGACGATCCGGCGAGCGACGAGACAAGTTTGCCAGCGGCACCCTAGGCCAACTCGAAGTTCCACTACACCAAATATGTTTCAGGACATCATAATTAATTGAGAAACGATCGAGCTTCAGTTATAAAAGAATACATTTCCGATATCTCTAAATGAAATCAGTCAGTAAATAAAAAATCATAGAACATGCATACATATATATTATTTATTTATTTCCCTTTTTGTTCATGCTCGCTAATTAACAATTCTTAAGCAACAATTTTATACGTTAATTCTACAAGGTTTTAAGGCGATTTGGCGAGGACTTACGAACTAAACAACTAACATTTCGTATAATTAATTAATATACATATATATATATATATATAGGTATGTGGTAATATATGTTTATATGCATATAGGGAATGTAAATAGTTTTTACTGGATTTCAGGCATAAATTGTTGGCAACAATGATTAATTTAACTACAAACTAGAAAACACATTTGAGAGACGATTATCTACTTTTCGCTAGCATTTCCGCTTCCGGCTCCGCTTCCTGGCCCGCTTCCGCTTCCGGCGCCTGGCTTGCGCGTGGCGAATCCTTCCGGCATGCTGCTTTTGCGCTGCGCCTGCGATATTTGCACAATGCGCGACAATGGGGAATGCGTGCTGCTTGTGCTGGGACGCATTAGCGACGAGGGCAACAGACGCGACGTTGAGGTGCCCGGCTCATCCTGGCCAGCAGTGCCGCCAGCCCCTGTGGGCGATGTGGGCGACAGTTCGCGTGCCAGAGGCGATGGTCGCAGCGAGAGTCGCCGCTGCAGCGTTGACTGGGAACCGGTCAATGGGCTGGGCTCCTCGCTGAGGCTGGCACCTGGTGGCGGCGCCTGTCCAGGTGGGATCTGCAGAGCTGTCGGACGCACACTGAAGCGCCGCCGGAACTTGGACTGACCAGCTGGCGTGGAAGTCGATGGTGGCAACGGTTTCTCGGTGTAGCTGGGTGGCGGCTCCAAATTGTGTATGCCGGATGGACGTCGGGTGGCCAGGCCGCTGCTGCCACCGGGAGACATGGTACCCACAATGGTGGAGCGACGGGCGTACAAACGATTGGCCGCTGTTGCCTGCAGCGTGCGCGTTTGGTCACCCGCAAACAAGGACAGGATGGGCGGCAGCTGGGGCGGATCAAGGCCGGCATTGCCCAGCTTTCGTTGCTTCTTGGTCAGCTTAGAGCTGGAGCTGGAGCCGGCAGCCGCCATCGCCTGCTGTTGCTCCTTCTGATGCTCATCGAGAACGGCATGCGTGTGCACCACCTCGAGCGCGCGTATCAGATCCGCTATGGTGGTCTGCTCCAGCACATCCATGTCCTTGTCCGAGGTCACCGAGAAGATGCTGGAACGCCGCGGCGTTGCGTTGCTCGTCATTCCGCCCGTGGCCGGGAACAGGCTGCCACGCCGGGCCGCAACAGCTGCCATAGCCGCCGAGCCGGAGCCGCGGCGCTGCATCTGGAGCGCAGCTGCTGTTGCTGTGGGCGTGTACATGCTGCCGCGTCGAGCGGAGAGCGCTGGATTCTGGGTATAGATGGACTCGCGGCGCCGCTTGCCGGCCGCCACGCCAGCAGCAGACTTGCGTTGATAGGCGCCCGTCGAGCCGAACGTCGCCTGGTCGGAGTCATCCAGATGGAAGGCCGGATTGCTGATGCCTGCATTGCCATTGCTGGAGGCCAGGCTGGTGGTCGAATCGAAGGGTGGTGGCGGGCCGCGGCCGTTGCGCAGATAGGATTGGCTGGCGCTTGCCGTAACCGTATTGTTGTAGAAGTCCAGCGGGGAGCGCGTGGGCAGCGACGTGATGCCCTCTGGTACGGAGACCACGGACAGCTTGCGCTCCACATCCTGCGAGGGTCGCTTGCGATGGAAGAGCTTGCGCAGCCCGTCCGGCATGGAGAACTTCTTGACGCGACCAGCGCCAGCCACTGCTCCATTCTTCTTGAGCTGCTCATCGCTGTTGTCCGGCTCCTCGAGATGCACCACATGCGGATCGCTGGCGGCACCATTCAGCTGGCTCTTGTAGCGGCTGTTGAAGGCCTCCTGGATCTGTTGATTGTCGCCGCTCCAGGTCCATTCGTTGTGATTGTGCGGCGCTCGGAGCGGGCGTCGTGGTGGCTCAATATTGAAGTCGGAGCAGGCACGACCACGCGGACGACGCGGCGTCGATAGTTCGTTGAGTGTCGAGAAGGACCATTCGCTGGCCAAGATCTGCGAGTCGGAGAACCCATGGTAGCCACCATACAAGGCCGCATCATCAGCCTCCGGTGGCGGCGGCTGCACCGTGGCCAACGCCGTCACCACCTTGGCCAGCAGGTCTGTTGTCTGGCGATAAGCCTCGGCCGTCTCGAAGGTCTTCTCCCGATCGAACTTGCTTATCTCCGTATCCGAATTGGCATGCACCATAGCAGTGGAATCCTGGGAAGCAGCCACTTCGGCGCACACGGAAAAGGCACGCTTCCGACTCGGTATCGGTGCGGGTTCCACACGGTACATGCTGAGCTCGGGGCAGGAGGCGGACCTCGGCACTGTATATGCAAATTCTGTGTCGGTGTAAACGGGCTGTTTATATTAGACGATGAATATCGTGTGTGGTAATCGATTATCAATGGCAGAGTGCGTGTACGTGTGCGTGTTGTTGTTGTTGTTGTACATGTAAAGAAGAGAGCGCAGCATATGGTATTGGTATTAGTGTAAATTTCAAATGTTGTTTCTGTTGTTGCTGTTGCTGTTGTTATTGCTATCTCTGTCACACTCTTGCTAGCCCTAACAACGGTGTCTGTGAGTCCCGTTAAGCTTATTTATATTACTTACGCCTGCGCGCCTTCGGCGGCTGCTTAATCTTAATCTTCGCGTTCTTTCTACCTCCCGTTCGAGAAAACTACAAAAAGGAGAAAATATCACAATTGTTAACGGACTTATCGGATGGGTAGGTGTTGGGGGTGGTTGCGGTTAATGTTCGCCCGCTTAGTCAAACATTTAGTGAATGCGCAGCCCAATTGTTGATTGTTGTTGTTGTTTTTGTTGTTATTCTTGTTGATAATTGACGCATAGTAAAGACGAAAACTTAACGGAAATATGTGCGTACCATTGATTAAACATACACACACACACGCTCACGCACATACATTATATGCTAGTGCTGCTCGCAGTGCCTGTATATGTATTAGTAAATTGTATTAGTATTATTTGCTTTGTTGTTGTTTTCGATAGCTTTGCGCACGCAGCTTTCACACTGACGTCGACGCAGACGCAGACGCAGACGCAGACGCAGACGCCAGCGCAGCCGCAGCAGCAGCAAATTCCGAAATAGCGTCCAATAATTTGGGTAAATTGTTTAAGGACTGTTTCGAAAAGTAAAACTCCCGCTTAATAAACATACGTAAAAAAATACCTCAGTTAAGTACTGTGAAATTGATTATTTAAATACCCATATGCTTATATATAGTTACTATGTTTCATAGGCTTTACCTTGACTTTCAGTATATACAGCTCGTTGAGCAGACGTCGTAAATAGCCAACATCCTTGGTAACACCCGTCCATATACGATTCTGTGTGGCCTTCAGATTCGATGAGAGCTGCTGTTCCAAGTAGGCCAGCTTCTTGCTCTGCAGCCCTCTAAACATATGCATTCGATTATGTTAGGAAAGAAGAATTATAGTGTATATATAGATATAATATATGTGTGTATATTAGCTTTGATGGTAGGTTAGAGCGATGCTTTGGACAGTCCCAGCATGCAAAACATATCATGCAGTACTCCATTTAGACAATGCATTCTCCCACTTACCGCGTTATGAACGTCATTATCATGACCAGGTAGCCCAAGGAGAATATAAACCAGACGATCACAAAGATTTGATAGACCACGAACCAGCCGCCAAACTCGCGTGGCTAAAAAATCGAAAAACCGTTCGTTACAACCAAACTGTCAAGGGACCGAACTGCAGTTGATCGAAACTCACCTGGTTGGCTCCAAACGTGGGCACGAAATCGCCAAAGCCAATTGTCGACATCGTCACATAACTGTAGTACAGTGAAATCGAATAGGGCCAACTCTCGAAGTAGGTAAACACCCACGATGGTAGTAATAGGAACAGGGCTATACCTGGTATTAGGGCTATGAACACCGTGGTTATCAATCCCAGCTGCGGTGGCACATAATGATCATTCGAGGACATTTTGTACTTCTTATATCGTCTGTAGATGGCCTCAAACTGAGGAGTGAGACACATTTAGATATTAGATATTAGACATAAGATTTGATAGTAAAGATGGATATTTGGATATGGATATTCATTATTTAGGTAGGCCTATCTATATCTATCTATATATCTAAGTATCTATGTATCTACATATATATCTTTATATCTATATCTATATATATATATATATATAT